TTGCTAATCGGTCGGGTATTGAGCGGCGTATGGCAATCGCTACGCCGCCCCCGCGATGACTACCGTCGCGGTCAGTGCGGTATATTGCCATGTCGCGCACCTCCATATGATCTGAGCTTTTGAGTTTAGTTTCCTGCAGTAGCAGAACGTCTGGGGCGGTGCGGTGTATGTTGCAGAAAAGCTCTATTAGACGTTTTTCGCTAGAGTCAATGTGACCGGAGTGTCCATTAACGTTCCAGATGGCCACAGCTAGGGGGCGGGTGTTTGTGTTTCTCTGATGCATCTGGATATCTGTGCAATGATGTTGGGCGCCCTGGTTAATATAGAGGTGGGCCAGGTGATAGGCCGAGGCGACTGGGTGGAGGGTGAAAGGAGGCGGGGGAACGGACGGACGGGAGCGGTCCGTGCTCGGACGGCGTGGTGCGGTCGGAAAGCTCATGGATCGGACGGGCGGCCTCCCGCGACCGCGCACTTCGCAATGGTGCGAGCCACGCATCGTGAAGACGTAATCCCCGTTGAGGTTCTGGGGATGTTTTGCAATTTCTAATGCTTCCTTTATCCGTCTTGGCCACCACCTATCTTCTCTGGCGAGCACCTTAGTCGTATCGATGAGGAAATCATGGCCGGTATCCCATGCGTGGAGAGCTACAGCGGAGCGATGTACCTTCTTAAACTAAAGGTCCTGAATGTGCTCGCATAGTCTCTCCTCAATTGTTCTTCGTGTTTCCCCTATGTAAGCGTGACCGCAGCTGTTTGAGAAGGAATATACTCCGGCGGTTTGGAACGGTGGAAGCTGGGCTCTGAAGCGCATCAATGTTTGGCCGAGCTTCTGGTGTGCCTTGAAAACTGTCTTGATCTGGAAACGTCACAGAGGTTCATTTCTGTCCATGACGCCTTCTGTATTAGGTAGTGTGGCAATTCTCCTGTTTTCGGTCACACTCGGGCAGCCCAGATCAAAATTATTTTTATTTTACAAGTTCTATAAGGTTTATATTTTCGTTTAAAAGAATTTGACATATATTAAAAAAATAATGATAATTGTTTTTCTTGGTGTGAAAGGAAAGGAAAGGAAAGGAAGAGGATGTGGAGTCAAACACTGTCGAAAAATATTTTCAGAGGTAGTGAATGATACTGCTACCCTTTCATGTGATTTCTATTAAGAACATTTTCCCCATTTAAATTGACTTCATCATTTTTGTCACTAAGTGGTGGTCTTTATGGTGGGCAACTGAACCAGTTTTATTGTGTATAGCCTTTATTATGTATAGTTATATTATGTATAGATCACTACTTTGAACATTAGGGATTTTAATATAAATCTTACCGCTTCGTAAACAAAGATACCCATCAGAACCGGCAAAATGATAGTAGATGTCAGAGCAAAGAAATGCATGCACACGAAGAGAAGACCTGTAAAAAATATAACATTAAAAAAATTCATGTATAACTTTCAATTTTATTTTATACTAAATAAAGCATTTTGTGATACCTGAAAAACCAAAACACTAAAAATTCTTTGATGAACATTTCACACCCTTACTGAAATGAAGTTTCCCAGAAAGCAAGTTAGCAATAGAAACCATATAATCGAAATAATGCGCAGTATTGCGTATTTAATTTCAGTATTATACTTGCATTCAGGACATATTTTAAGAATGAAGTATTCTGATGATTTTCTTAAGAAAATGAAATTTAAGTGTTTTTGGAAATAGCCACAATTTCTATTACGGATTCTTGAACATGTTAGTTTTTCCTGTTCTGTTTTGTTTCTAATATTGAGAGTCATAAAATCAATACATCAATTGTGTATACCAATTTTAAACCTTTTAATATACTTCTGTTAGGTAATGTGATTGTTAGGGCCGAATTATCGTATAAATGTAGTTTCGAATTCGCAAAAGGCTTGTACATTCAAATCCCAACAATGAAAGATTTTCGGCAAAAACTGAATATCAGGATCGGACGATGTTGCCTGCAGGAGAATTTTAGAGGCTGGCTGCTTTGATCACTCGTTTCTATTATTTCCTCCAAACAATTCCAATGTCGGAGTAGTATCTTAAATAAAATGATTGGACCGCGGGCGGTATTTCCTTTCCATCCTGTCCCCACCTCATCCTTATGGCTGGGAGATAAGCTGATCTCCCATCCTCATGATTCCTTCCACATTATCTCCATAATCTTGGGAGACTAAAAACTGCGAGAACACGGATGTCAAACCTAATTGAGCTGGCAGCGCCATAAGAAAGAGAATCCTACAATTACTACGCCACACTTGTTATTTACAAGGAGTTTTCGGGCGCTAAGGGTGGTCAATTAAACGCCAACCTTATTCTCATCCTTCGCGGCCGTACAAGTACGCCTTACGACCATTATTCGTGTACGCCGGGTCGCGATGTAGAGCATCTATCGGTAATCTAGTAAGCGGGAGCGACTCATCAGATCGAAGTTTACCAGCTGTCAATGTGATTAAACGCCACTCACATGTACCAGCGCAAATTTCATGAATGTCGGGCACTATCAGTCAGAAGCAAGATTTCAATTGGGAGCTATTTGGATTGTTACATTCGGGGGGTACGGAGCACCCCCCCCCCGTCTTCTTACTGCGCCTCCCTGGCCACTATCGACCTAACACCGAGAATTTGAACACTAGGGTGGGTGTTTCTAATTCCCCTTAAAGACATTATTATGCAATACCGAAGCTTCAATTTCACCCGCTGCAAGAAGACAAAGAAGTAAAAGAAGAGGAACCAAGGTTTTAAAGCTTTTCCTATTCTCAGGATGTTACCAAACGCTTTTCTCCTCGAGGGAAACTACTCCGCCCCTTTTACTTTCTCGCTACCGTTTACGCAGTGCAGAGAAATTTATGTAATGCTGCGCAACAAAACTGCGAATTTTCGGCAGAAACCTCTTACTACTTGGCCCTGGTAACGAAAAGAGGAAAAAATAGTTGAAAATTTAGAAAAAGTCCTCTAACATGTGATGTAGAGGTGTAATCCATGTTTTGTGGGCCGTTGGTAAAAAAAGAAAAATTGAAAAACGGCAAAACGTCTATCTATCTGTCCGTCCGTCTGCCCGTCTGTGAACAATGCTAGCGGCTAAATCGTTTAGTCGGTTTTCTCCAAATAGATATTTCCTAATCCATCTGACTGATATCGTGATCTCTTGAATTTGAAATCGATATTTTAATTTTGGGGGTACTTTACACAAAGGCCCTGGGACATTTTTAAAATTTAAAAAATGGCTGCGTCATTTTTGATTAAATTTTATTGTTGGGTAGTGCGAAGGACGCTTAAGAGAATGGTGCAGGTCTCACGTTCGTTGAAAACCCTGTTTCGAGTTTGAAAAGTTCAAAGTATTTCCTTGGCTCCCTGCAACTAAAATATTAAAGATAGAGGTTTTTTCCCGTTATGAAATCTGTTTCTTAAAGATAGGTTTTGAAATGAGATCGTGTACGATTTTTTGTAAATTTGAGTACTTTCCGAGTAATGTAGCGTGAAAATACGGACGAGAAAGTACGTGCTGTTGGCATGACTAGTTATTGCTTTCGATGGCTAAGCGCAACGTTGTCGGGAAAGGGCACTCACGCACGAACGCCGGGGAGAGGTCCCGGGCGTTGGACTCGCTCGTGACGGAGGCAAAGCCACTCAGTGCCATGGCAAGTGACAACGTCATCAGCATCCACTGAGGGCTGCAGCCCACGTAGCCCACGGCGACCACGGTGACCCCGGTGAAGAGGTGAGCTGCCACCAAAAATCCTCGTGACCGGGAAAGCTCTTCAACATGCTTACATACTTCACATTGAATGTTGTCTTTTGCAGTCACAGTGTATGAACGTAACATAATGTAACTTGTCGGATTTACTGTTAATACTTTTAAGCCAAGAAATTTTACCTTTGATCGCGATGAAAGTTTCCCAAATTGATCTTTTTTATATGATATTCTCCATTTATTAACATTTTAATGCTTTGTGTAAGCGATTTTCATAAAATTTGGTGATTAAATATCTAAAAATTAACATTAGTGGGTGCAATAACAAATGCAAAAGTGTTGTGCATTATTTATTATTAATATAATTTACTTTCTGAAGTAACCCGGCATTCTCGGGGCATTTATGTTGTAAACATTTATTACACTGAGAAATGAATAAATTGTATCTATAAAGTAAAATTGAAGTAGTATTATTTACACCCACACTACGCCCCATCCAGCCCCTCCCATTCTACCGAAAGAGATAGCTCAGGGCATGAACTGACGTCACTATAGTGCTTCTGACCGGGAGGTCCTAGGTTCGAGTCCCGATGGTAGTAGGATTTTCGACACTAGATAGCTAGAACAAATTCAGTCTCTGGAGGAGAATTCAAGCGACCGGCTGCTCTGTTCTTTTCCATGGTCTCCGTTCAACTCCAGGCGAATGCCAGAGCAGTATCCGAACAAACGGGCCACGGTCCGCGCGATCTTTCATTCTTCTTCCTTGTCATATACTCTCCCCTTCCACGCATTCCCACGTACATGCATTTCACTATCACATATGTCAGGAGAGCAAATGGGCTTAGACCTTTTCTCGGATGAGTCAGTGCCCTTCTGGAGGAGATACGTGGAGAAGAAATCTCTCCCAAGCCACCGCGTAGGTCGGCATCAGTTCTCACCATTCGGGTGAGGTACATCGCCACCTCCAGTGAGAAAACATTCACTACACTAACGGGACTAATGAACAATTACAGTCGACATGCCGAGAAACATCAATCATTTCCCATATTTTGCATTTTAAAACTTCTTTCCAATCTTGATTTAATCTTACCGTTTTAAATTTCATAAATGTTTGGCAATTTAATGATATCGTGTACATTCTTTTTAGTTATTTTCTTGAAATCGTTTGTGATTTACTTCAAATCACTTCCGTGATTAACCTTCTTTATGTCTCACATTACGAAATTCATATATGTCAAGAATATTCAGCAGTTTGGAATTTGCACTCTGTATTATTTCCGACCCTAAGTCCAATGAATGTTGGTCTTTTGGACAGAGGTATGTTGACAATTCATATTGTTAAGTAATCTTTCCCTGGATAATTTCATGGTGAAAATCTTCATGCATTTGTCGGAATTCGAGCGTATTCCTCCCGCAATACGGCTGATGCCATACGAGTACTTTTGATTATTCTCTCAGCATCTAGTTCATAGCATTATTATGACTTTCATTTACCAAATCATCCCAAACGGATTTCTTAAGCAATTATTAATTATTTATTGCATGAAAATGAAATGAGTGTGCGTACACATGTTCATACTCACACACACACGCACACGGTGCTTCATTTATAAAATTTTAAATCCATGATTGCGATACAAATTAATTAATTTAATACAAAATTGTTATATAATAAGGTATTTATAATACATTTTAATAATTATTTCCGAGGTAACGGAACGCCGTTCCGTCGCGTTCCGCCCAAACTCGAAGGTTTGCTCCCAAATTTCGCACGATTACTTATGAACGACAGAGAATAATATACACCGGGGGTTGCGAGGCAAATGTTGCCCCAAAATATTTTTAAGAACATTTTGTTGATCGCAACCCGTACTTCAATTATATATTAAGAATTTGCGTTGCGATAGTGCGGACAGGGGCTTGTCACGACGTTGCCTGTCAGAGCCGAGCGAGGCAGAGCGGAAGGGTGAGGGGTGCCGGGTGGAGAGGTGGGAGCTGGGCGGGGTGGCCGGGGCGACGTTGTGATGGAGGAGTGTGTGGGAATATAACTGAAATTACTTCCATTTTTCTCTATAGTTATAATTCATTCCATTTCCAGTCTAATAAATCTTTATCATCCCAGTATTTTACAGCTCTTGAAGCCGTCTCTCGTATCGCAATCTCGTACCCCTCTATCATTTCAGTCATTCTCTTCTATACCTCTTTTTTCCATATCTTTAAAAACCCGATTCTGCCATTCCTCTCTTGGTCTACTTTTTATTCTACCACAATCTCCCACAATCAAGCCTTTTCACGTGACCAAACCATTTCAGCTTTCGTGTTTCCAGTTCATCTTAATTAGTTTTTGAACATACATTCGCTTAATAATTTTTTCATTTCTAATGTCTTCCTGTCTAATATATGACTGTGATATATTAATGCCTGGACAACGTTGGTTTACTTCTACAAGTGTGCAATAAACAGAAAGCATTATTGAATACCACCTTCAAATTGACCGCTAGCAGCAGTTTTAATAATTTGGGTAGTGTTTAAGTCCCAATGCATCTACAAAAATTGGCCAAATAATTGTGAGATAGAGCGACTTAATCACCATGGAGTTGTGAGGAAATGTGTGTTAGTCACAAGTTAAAAACGAAATTAAAACAAATTAAAATATACAATTTGAGGTGATTTGTCATATCAGGGCTAGTTTGTCCTCCCCTTCGTAAAAATCGTGGTCTTTAGGCTCGAAAATTGGGGAAAATTAGTTTCTAACTTAAAACTGCAATAAGAGACACGTAAAAGATTAAATACATAAGTAAATAAAAATTTAGTATCAAATGAAACCCATATGTATTTGAATAATGAAAGAGATCCAGACGTCCGGAAAAAGTGGTAAATCTCTTCAACCAACACTTTTCTAGAATTGCGGCTGAACTCACGAAGGGACTAAAACCGTCAAATTTAACATCATTACCCTCCCAAACAATTTTCGAAACGATTTTAATTTCCGAAACTTCTTCTAACGAAATCTTACGAATAGTCCGTAAACTAAAAAATAAATATTCATCAGGTTTAGATGAATTTCCGGATTGATTATAGAAAACTTGTGTACCTGCCTTTATACACCCGTTAACTCACATTTTCAATGCTTCTTTATGCACACGAATATTTCAAGATATTTTCAAAACAGCAAAAATAAGTCACTTTTTAAAAAAGAGAGCAAAAATAAAATTCAAAATTTCCGACTAATTTCTCTTTTGTCAGGATTCTCTAAAATATTAGAGAGGCTCTTCTATACGCAAATGGAAACTTTTCTCAGGAAAAACGAAGCGTATTCAGTCTCACAACACGGGTTATAAAATCAAAATCTACGGAAGCAGACATTTTTCTTTTCTTCAAGATGTTGCTTCATCAAAGGACCAAAATGAAGCCCCCCATTGGAATATTTTTTGATCTTACGAAAGCTTTTGACGTTATTGACCATAACATGTTGCTATCAAAATTACCTTCTTATGGAATTCGTGGTATCGCCCTAGATTGGATAACTTCGTACCTTAAACATCGATCTCAAAGAGTTAAAATACCGTTCTGGCACGAAAGGACATTATTTATTTATCTTTCCAATTCTTTACAAATTGAATATGGGGTTCCGTAAGGCTCGGTCTTAGGTCCTATCCTCTTTCTGTTATACGTAAACGATATGTCTATTAAAAACGGAAGAATGGTTCTGTTTGCTGATGACACGAATGTTCTTTGCACAAAATAAACAATAAATAGTACTATTTTAGAAGTTTCAAATTTGTTTTTTAATAACAAATTAATAGTCAATGAAGGAAAAACTGTTTCAATGCATCTTTGTCTTTCAAATCAGCAATCGCATGCTCCGTTGACAATGAGTAATATGCAAATAGGTGATGTTCAGGTAACAACATTTCTAGGTATGTCAATTCAGTCAAATCTCAAATGGAATGTACATATAACAAAATTAAACACTAAATTAAGTTCATTA